GGCGGCCCATGAATGCCTTCATGGTGTGGGCCAAGGACGAAAGGAAACGCCTGGCGGTGCAGAACCCAGACCTGCACAACGCAGAGCTCAGCAAGATGCTGGGTAAGTGCGCGGGGCGCGAAACTGGAACCGGGACCGCGCGGATGATAGCGTCCGTTCGCAGAGGGCGGAGTAGGGGGGCGTCCGACCACGGACACCACCCAGGCCTGAGCGGCCCGTCGGTGAAACCGTACTGGTCCCCTTTCGGGGACGCGGAGCAGAAACCCGGGTCCCAGGGGCGGGCGTGACCAAGCAGCGGGTGCTGAGGACTGGAACTCGGGCTCAGGGACTCAGCTAGGTGGTTATGTTCAGCCTGGGTGGAACCCACATTGCCTGGAAGACTGAGGCAGGAGACTCCATCATTTCCCACGTTGTATGACTGGGACAATCAGAGAGAGTGTGTCACGGATAAGAAGATAACGAATATACGTCAATCGAAGCCTTACCGGGAAGAATCCCCATTTTTAATTATTTAACAGGAAAAAAAGGCAGCAACAAAAGACATCCACCAGAATAGACTTGATTTACTAACCTATTTATCATAGAAGTGTAGATAACTTGAAAAGATACTTGAAGCAGCCAGGGAGGGTCTGCAGACCCCATTGCTTCATGCTTGCAGCCTTGGCAATGTCCGCAGATAATCCAGACTGGGACCAGACAGGCCAGAAAAATCGGAGATGAAAATACTAAAACGTTCTTAGAAAACTGAGTTTCTGTAGGATTTTCTTTTCTCTCCAGTACCCTGAGCGGGAGCGGGAGCGGGTTTTGTGTGTGTGTGTGTGTGTGTGTGTGTGTGTGTGTGTGTGTGTGTGTGATGTTATATGTGTGTTTGTGTTAGTGTGTGTATGTGTGTGTGTATGAATGGGAGCATGCCACGGTGAGGGTGAGTGTGTCTATGTTGGGGTGGGGGGATCAGAAGACAACTTTCAGGTGCAGAGTAGGCTCTTTCTTTCCAACATATGGGTTTCAGGGACCAAACATTGCTATCTTCAGGCTTGTTGGCAAATGCCTTTTTACCCACCAAGCCTTACCTCACTGATCTTGCTGCCAAACATTTTTCAACCTCACCTGACTTCAAACCTCTTTACCCTTCAACGTAGTTTTTACTTAGTTTTACCAGTGAAATCCCTTCAAAACATTTTGTGTTTACAGAGGGCACCAGGCTGGCCAGGAGAGACATGCAGGCCACTGGACCCCACCCGCTGCTGGGCTGAAGCCCTGCCCTTTTCCGTAGGAACCTGGGCTCTTTCCTCTTTTGGAGTCACAGAGAGGGCCGACTTTCTGCTGGCAAAAGGCCTGGGCCTAGAGAGAGGACTCAGCCTGCTGGCTCTCTGGAGCCCCCAAAAGCAGTTCCTGAGAATTGTGGGGTTCCAAGCACCTCTTGTCCAGCCTTGTGGTCAGCTGTGCCTAGCATGTATTGGTGAGCATTGCATTGAAGGTTCCTTCCTTCATACAAAACAATAAACCTGTATATTTTTACTCTATTGATATAACAAGAAATAGACTAATATCTGCAACAGTATATTTCTTTGACCTCAAAGCTTATATTGTTTTCTTGAGACTTTAAGAGAAGTTTTTTAAAGAAAGTCAAACCCTTTCAGTTTTATGAATTCCTAATTTTCTCCCTCATCACTCTGTGGCCAGTCACAGCTGAGGACAGAATGTTTCCACTTTTGACTAGGTTTTTGTCACAGGCCCTGGTGGGAGGAGAGAGAAGGGTGGTGAGCCCACAGAAGAATCTAGGCTGCCTGTTTTGGGGGCGAGGGCAGGGACAGACAGTTTGTGGGACACAACTCTTCCTGTGGGCTAATTCTTTCTGGAATAGAGCCCTAGGCTGTAAGAGGGCACAGTTCATCTTGCAGAAAAGACTCTTCCCCAACCCCAGAAGTTCACCCTAACTAGGGTGAGGGAAAACAGCAGGCATTTATTGCTTGTTAAAACAGAGACCTTGCGTTAATAATATGGGCAGCAACAGCCACCCCTGTGGCTTTCTTCCTGAATGCTTTCTTCCCTCTCTGGCCTATGAGAGGGAAAGAAGGCTGGGATAAGAGACTCCCAGCTTTTGCTACTATAAGCTTTCCAAATTTTAACCTTTAAGACCTAGGTAGAGGAATTTTAGCACAGGTGAAAGTGAAATATTTTAGTATATCATGAATACATTAAGTGAAATATGTCTAGTGCATTATGAATGAGAAGGTGTATCACAAATTAGACATTTGTTAGGATTTTTAAAAAAATGGAAATGGTATTTTATTAATACTATATGGCATTTGGGTACATTTGGATACCAGAGTCACATTTTATATTCAGATCATGGATAGAGTGTGGGGTGTGTCTGCATCCTGGACTACTTGCAAGAGCTTTGTGGCCTCAGCCATAGCCCGAGAACGAGAGTCATCTTTACATCTGGTCCTGGGAACACTCTTCAAGCTGAAACTCAAAGTGACAGCTAATTGTAACTGGCAGATTTGTGATGACTTCTGTCTTTGAGCCCTCACTGTCCTATGATATCCTGACCCATGAAGTCAGCCTGTAGAGGTGAGGGCAGAGACAGAGGACTGTGGGGACAAGGGCAGGGCGTGTATGGCCCTATGCTTGGCCACATGTTGATTGTGCCCAGTGGCAAGACATGGCCTCTTTCTTTTGAGCACTTGCATGGCCTGATGCCTTGTCTTCTTGACTAGAGGGTCTGAAACTGCAGGGTACATTAAAGTCAAGAGAAAGCATGCTAAATTTGTAGATTCTTACCTTGGGAGGAAATGGTTTCAATAGCCTAGAAGTGATCCTTGGAAATCTCTGGACCAGGACTGCATAATGCCCATTGAAAGATGGAAGAGGGATCCCAAAGTGGCTTGCCAGGCAACAGATAGGTAGGGAATGATGAACAGAAAATCAAATACAAGCAGCATTTTAGCACCAGTGGGGTTACACGGAGAGGATGCTTCTAAAAGAGAAAGCCTGAATTAGAAGCAGCATGTATAAGGAAGATAGAGACCCAGGGAAGTCAAAGAGTTTGCCTCTGTGGAGAGCTGTGGCTAAGCAAGTATCCTGCTATATCCAAAAGGTCCTAATTCCATGGGAGAAAGTGGTAGCATGCATGTGTAGGTAAGTGTACCTGTGTTTGTGAATAAAGGTTAGCTTTCAAGCCATGCCTACGTCTTCACATAGCAGGGTCTATTTGACCCGCAGAGGTGAGGAGTAGTTATTTGTGAGCCTTAATGAGATTCTTGAATCTAATTCTTGATATTATAATTGGCTGGGCTAGCAAAATAAAGGCTATGAGATTTATACATTAGTAAACAGCATGCTATCTCTTCATTAGCAGCAGGGAACTTAATGTTAAAATGCCCAAACAAACAGAACTGACCCTTCAAGGATGGAAAGAACCCCAGTCAATATTATGGTCCTGAGATTTTTTTTTTCTGTTGCTAATGATTGGGTCAGGTGGGACCCTCACAGTTTGGAATGGTTGGGCCATCTGGTGGTTTGGGGTGCGATGGTGATTTTTAAGCACTTTCTCTGTGAGGCTAACTTTATGCAGTGCAAACAGGAAGGGTGCATTCAGCCCCTTCACTGCATGTGGGATCTGGGAGGGAATAGAAGCAGATGGAGTCCTTTGTGGCTGTGAGAAGGTTCCTTTGGATGGAGTAGAGGGACAGAGGTGTTTGCACATGGGATGCTAAGAGGCATGAAGCTGTAGTGGGTGCAATGGCTGAGCCAGTCGTTTGGAGTCTGAGCATGCCCTTCTCTGGTTTGTGTGATCAGGAAAGTCATGGAAGGCACTGACCCTGTCGCAGAAGAGGCCCTATGTGGATGAGGCAGAGCGGTTGCGCCTACAGCACATGCAGGATTACCCCAACTACAAGTACCGGCCCCGCAGAAAGAAACAAGGGAAACGCCTCTGCAAGCGTGTGGACCCTGGCTTCCTCTTGAGCTCCCTCTCTCGTGACCAGAACACGCTGCCTGAGAAAAACGGCGTTGGCAGGGGTGCACTGGGGGAGAAGGAGGACAGGGGTGAGTACTCCCCAGGTGCTGCCCTGCCTGGACTACACAGCTGTTACCATGAAGGTGCAGCCGGTGCCCCTGGCAGTGTGGACACATATCCCTATGGGCTGCCCACACCCCCAGAGATGTCGCCCCTGGATGTGCTGGAGCCCGAGCAGACCTTCTTCTCATCCTCGTGTCAGGAGGAGCATGGCCACCCCCACTGCCTCCCCCACCTACCAGGGCCCCCTTACTCACCAGAATTCACTCCTAGTCCCCTCCACTGCAGCCACCCTCTAGGTTCTTTGGCCCTTGGTCAATCCCCAGGGGTTTCTATGATGTCCACTGTTCCCGGCTGTCCCCCATCTCCAGCCTACTACTCTCCTGCCACCTACCACCCTCTACACCCCAACCTCCAGGCCCACCTGGGCCAGCTCTCCCCACCTCCCGAGCACCCTGGCTTCGACACACTGGATCAACTGAGCCAGGTGGAACTTCTGGGGGACATGGATCGCAATGAATTTGATCAGTATTTGAACACTCCTGGCCACCCTGACTCTGCTGCAGGGGCTGGGAACCTCAGTGGGCATGCCCCACTCTCCCAGGGAACTACAACAGGCCCAACAGAGACCAGCCTCATCTCTGTCCTGGCTGATGCCACAGCCACATACTACAACAGCTACAGCGTGTCATAGAGCCAAAGGCGTGGAACCTGGCCCAGCCCTGCTGTCCTCTCCTCCCTCTGAAGCACTGAACAGAATAGAAACTGTACTGTTACCATCCCTCGGTGGCAGGAGGTCAGTACTGCTGTCCCAGAGCCTTCAGTCTAAAGCCAGGATCCAGCGCCCCTTGTGTCCCTTCAAATGTGTTTCATTGGCTTCACCCTGGAAGCACAGCCGTGAGGAGCTGGATCTGGGTAGGACTTCCTGGCCACTCTTCTGTCTCCCTGTCAGTGTGGCTGATGGTGGGAAGCCCAATACCTTGGAGCTCCTGCTTTTGATGTAGCCACTTCTGATCTGTGGTGCTCCCAGTGAGAAGGACCCTGAATCTGGGGTCCTTCTCAGTTCAGTCTCTAACTGGCAAAACCCCATTCTGGCTTGACGAGCCTTAACTGTTCTCTCCTGTAAAGTGGGGGCTGGTTTGATAGCCAAGCCCCTGCTCTATGGATCCCTGAGTTACGGCCCTCTCAATGCCAAGAAAAGTGTGACCCCAGTAATGGACAGCCTCATGGGGACTTCACGTGTACTGCCCAAGTCTCCAGGTTTTCTGCTTCTCTGGTCTTTCTGGTCTACAGCCACCCTAGAGTTCCAAAGGAACTCCTCCAATTGAGAAAAATATTCTCAATTGGCAAGATGGCTCCTGATGGCTCAGTGGGTAAAAGTGCCTGCTGCCAAGCCTGACGACCTACGTTCTATCCCCGGAGCCTCCATGGTAGAAGGAGAGAACTGACTCCTGAAGTTGTATTCTGACCTCTGTGTGCATGCCATAGCACCTGTGCCTCTGAATTCTATGTGTGCTTGAGCGTGCTCACATACATACACACACATACTGAACGCAATTTTTTTTTTTAAGGAAACATGTACTCTGGTTTGGGAAATTAATGAGTATGTTCAACTATATCACTGAAAGCAAAATTGAATTCAAAGCTTTTTTGTTTGTTTGTTTGTTTCTCTTCTGAGACTGGGTTCATCTGTGTAGCCCTGGCTGTCTTGGAATTCACTTTGTAGACCAGGCTGGCCTCAAACTCAAAGCCTGCTTCTGCCACCTAAATGCTGGGATTAAAGGCGAGTGCCACCATGCCCAGACTTGAAGTTTTTTGTTCTTGTTTCTTTGTTGGCTTGCTTTTTTGTTTTTAATATATACTTTAGCTATATTATTTTTTGTTACATACACTCCAGGAGACTACAGAGTGAGAGAGATGCCCTTATGCAGGCCTGCCCTTCCTCCCAGGGTTTGTAGCCTGATTTAGATTCTTCTCAGCTGTAGCAGTGACTCACTGCTTCCCTACTGAATGACCCAAAGAGCTAGGCGCCTAAAAACACTGTCCATAAAGCAGGAGTATCGGGTGTGCTGATTTCTCCAGCACAGCTGCAGCATGGCCCTATCTAGAGATGGAAAGGAGGCCTCCCGTCCGGCTGTCTGCTGCTCCTCACTCACCCTTTCCTAGAGGTTTTTTTCTCCTTGCTGTTACTCTCCCTCCACTCCAAATGGCCCCCAATTCAAAGGGCCCCTGCCTTGAAGTCCCAGGCATGAGTCCTCTGGCCATGAGGGGAATGTGCTTCTTGTTCTTCAAGTGGCTACATCAGAACAGTTCCCTGTCCCACCGTCCTTTGGCTGTCTCAAACAAACACACTGTGACACCCAAAGATGTTTCTGAGCTCTTATCCCACCCCAGACATTTCCATCCCCTAAGTCTCCTTTGAAGGAACGTACCTAACACTGAGCTAGCAGACTCTTGTCTGTCCTTGAACACGTGTGTATTATTATCTTTATGAAATGTGTTTTTACATTCTGCTGTTATTGCCGTCTTACATTTTGTATTGTTGACAGATCCCCCTCCTAGAAGTCTTATTATAAAATCACTTATAAAATATACTTAATCTTTATGCTATTACTGTATATACCATGTGGTGATAAATAGTGAATGGTTGATGATATGATATGATTGACTGGTGCCCAGTCACGATGTGTATTAATAATCTCCTAAGACAGTATCACAGACATTAAGCTACTCTGTTCTATTTTTTCAAAAAGACTGCATATGCATGGAACAGTTATGAATATTGATTTGTTGAAAATGTTTAATTTAAATAAATGTTTTTGTACCTTGGCCATTCAATGACTTGAAATAGTTTTGAAAAAAACAGTTTTCATGCTAGATATAGATATTATACCCAGTGCTACCTGCAATATTATTTAAGTGACTTTCTGCATCAAGTTTTTTTCTTTTTATTTTAAGAAGCTTTTGGTGTATGGGGTTTTTTAAATTTTATGAGGCACGCCAAAAGATAGACTCCAATTCTGCACATTGGGAATGATGCTGTTCTGGTTGACACTGGAAAAGGAAAGCCACCACAGCCCATATGAGTAGTTTTCCCATGCCTGTGCAGTGGAATGGAATTAAACTACAAGCTGCCCAAGCATAGGCAATTGCCTACCTCGCCCTCTCCCCTACATGAGTGGTATAGTGGTATGCAGTGGCCCTCTGGACTGGACAGCATGCTGTGGGGGAGGCAGATGAACAGCCTGGGAATCAAAGCCGAGAGCAGGAGGTGGAGACACTCCAGGACACACCCACCCCCAGGCAAAAAACAGCACTGCCCAGTCCCTGTGTAGGGCATATCCTACTGGCCTCTCTCTTCATGGAAAGAAGTGACTTGTTCAAGTCAAAGGTGGCTAGCCATGCCCCTTCCCAGACTGCCTGGGACCAAGGATTGGGTCTTGAGAGATCCTATCTGGACCTCTGCACATCCTTCTGCATTGATTATAATCTGCAGTCATATTTAAAAACACTTCATAGATGTTGGGTTTTGGAGCTGCTTCTCATTCACAGCCCCAGGTGGAGCTCGTCATTCCCACTCCATTGCACAGCCAGGAACACTAAGGCCCAGGAGGGCTCACCACTCTCCTAAGGTGATGGCTTCAACACCCATGAGACACATTTGTTGGCAGCATTTGTGGCTAGTGGCTTAGTACTGCTCTTTGGTTTTAATTTTTGTTTTGCAATGCAGCCTCATGTTGTGGCTAAAACTGACCCGGAACTCACTATGTAGGCCCAAACTAGCCTTGAACCTGTAGAAATTCTTCTTCAGCCTCCTTGGTTCAGTTTTCTGGGCTACACTAGGACCTATCAACAGCTCCTCGATCCATGAGCATCTCAGTCCAAAGAAGAAGAAAGAAGTTGTTGGGCTTGGCTGAGATGACACTGAGAGCCATGCTGCTCGGGCCTGTCACTGCACTTGGCAGTACACAGGGCTATACTGAGGTAGAATCATGGGCTAACCTGAGCTCTGGACTCTGGCAGTATCTGGTCAAGACATGCCCCTTGGCACTGCCAAATGGAAATGTGTCATTGCAGAGCACAGTATGTACATGCTGTCCCTGTCCTTGAGGTGCAAGAAACAGGCAGGAGGGTACTCAGCTATCTGAGAGCAGCCTGGAAAACAGGGTCTCTGTGAATCTCAGCTACCGGTACATCCTGCCTGTGGTAACCAGGGCATGCTGTGGCTTATGTCATGGCTCATGGGAAGATAATACATGATGACAAGTTGTTTTTCTGAAATGCTGATGTCTCCATATCACTCTTTGCCTTAAAAATCTCTGTTCCTGTTCCTTAAACAGTGAGCACCAAAGGAGAGTCACCTTGTGGCTGAGAAGCCCCGTATTCCAACTCTCACTTGTGTATGTTCAGGGAAGTCTCTGTGTTCACAAATGGTTTTCATAAATGTTATAGAAAGGGGGATACTTTTGTGTTCTTTCCTTTAAGAGATACCTGCCCCATATCTCCTGACAACTATACAAGCTTTGGGCCTGTACTGCCTTCTCAGTCCTGATGTCAGTTTCCCCCAGGGCTGATGCTCTTTTTCCCAGAAATTTCTCACTCAGATTCTCCCAACCTCCAGGGCATCTTGCTGCAAGAATATCTGCTGTTGCCTGAGAACATTCTTCTTTCTCATTTTTCCATGTTTAATCATGCCAGCATCTGTCCTGGAGACCCTCACAACATCACCTGTATAGTGCTACCTCACACAGTGTCCAAGTGGCAGGTCCTTATTCTCCCATGGACCCTGGTGGCTACAGTGGCTGGACAACTGGTTTGTGTGCCCTCCGTTGCTAGACACAGAGTAGGTTAGAGAATCCTAGTTGGGCTGAGTAGTGGTGAAAGACCCCTATCCTTTGGGTCTATTCTCCTTGGAATTATGTTCCTAAGGTCTTTGGGTATGTGTCCCTCAGGTCCATATGGCTGAGGAGGTTGTCCTGTAGGCTGGAGATGGGGCACAAGCCTTCCTTTTTGAATAAATAGTGTTTCCGCCCTCTTCCCAGTGAAAAGCAGAGGGGGAAAGGGAAAAGGAGACACACACCCTGTTCTATTTGCTTCTGTGTTGCTATGATGGAACACTGACCAAAACCAACTGGGGGGCAGGGGAGGGTTTATTTGGCTTATACTTCCATATCACAGTCCATCAGAGTAGGGACCTGGAGGCAGGAACTGAAGCAGAAGCCATGGAGGGGTGTTATTGATTGGCTTGCTTCCCAGGACTTGTTTAGTTTGCTTTCTTATATACCCCAGGATCACCTACCCAGGGGTGGCACCGCCCACAGTGGACTTGGCCCTCCCACATCCATCATTAATCAAGAAAATGCCCACAGGAAACCCCTCAATTGAAGTTCCCTTCTCCCAGGTGACTCTAGTTTGTGTCCAGTGGGCAAAAAGTAACTAACACAATACACACACACACACACACACACACACACACACACACAAAATCTTTTCTTTCTTTTGCCATTTCTCTCTTCTTTTGTCTTCCTTTTTATTTCTTGCATTTTCTAATCTGTGTATACAGACCTATTCATCCAACCTCCTGTCTATCATCTATCTTTGAATTCTAAATATAGACACAGTCGTTGCAGCAAATTTAGAAAAATAATATCATAAGTAAAAGAAAAGTTACTTCTCACCCAAAACTTAGAGCCATCACTATATATATATATATGACAAATATTCTATTCTTTAATGTTACAGTTTCTCCATGTAATTCAACTATTTTCTTCCTGCTTGACAAAAAATATAAACATTGACAGTCCCAGAGGAGGGCCTTTATCCAACTACTCCATTGTGTAGCAGGGATACTGAGGCTGAGGCAGGAGGACAGAGGATTACAAGTTTGTCCCCATTCAGCACTACATAGAAGAAAGAAGGTGAGAAGGAGAGGAAAAATGAAGAAACAGTAGAAAAAAAAGAAAAGGAAAAGGGGAAAGCCATAGAAAAACTAAGAAAGAAATTACTCACTTGTTGTAACTACTTCCCTTATGGTCATTTTGTGTGTGTAGAATTTCCTGTCCCATTTCCCAGCTCACACAGTAGGATGTGCTATTATTGTATTCATCTGTGGACACACAGCCCACTGGTAACTCTCTTACTCCCTTCAGCACCCTACAGTAGGAGTTAGCCCATGACATCTGTCTTCATACTGACTTCCTCTGTGGCTACACAGAACTTCAGGAAATGACATCATAGCATATGTATTTTACTTAGCCATCTCATCACTTTCTCATAATTGGATTGCTCAACCTGTTGACCAGATAGCATTTACAGAGAACCTTAAAAACTCACAAAAGAATTTATAATATTTTATGTGACTTTACAATTTTGTGTTGGACTGCACTTATAGCTACACTTGCCAGTGTATAGCTTAAGTGGGTATTGCCTTCAGTTCTTGGTTATGTCCCCAGGTACAAAGAAGCTGAGATGCTCCCGTAGACCCCACAGAGAAGAGCAGATCCTATGGGAAGAATGGAAACCCCTGGTGACCTTTTGTCACTGACTTCCTGTGACCAAGCTCTTGGGACCTCCATTTTCAGATGTCATGGGCATTCCAGAGATTCACTGTGTGCTCCCCAGGCTATCCAACCACTGGCAACACCTGCATTCCTTTCCCGAGCCTCACTGTAGAGGACACACACTGTCCTGACTCATGGTGGAGCTGGCAGTCTGAAATGTGTGCAAGTGGCTTTTACCTTGGCCCTTAACATC